AAAAATCTTTTATAAAATGTCTTTTTACAAAATATCTTTGTTGATAACTTTATCCTTTTCTCATTTTCAGTTTCGTGCGTCCAATTTTATCATAAATATCACGAAACTAGCAATTGGAATTTGAAACGATCGTCAATGCCTAACAAATTCGTGCGAATTGAACTAATTAAAAAGAAACGTCATTCGTGTTGCAGTAAAAGTAAAGACGCTATCAATTAGGATCTACGGATACATCGAGGGATCGAAGCTAATTATAAAAACGGTCGTATTTGGCGTGATCCATAGAATATTTTAGCCAACAGTTTGCCGACCGAACGATTCTTTCCAGTGTTACTAACCCGAACACCGTGAATGGTTGATGCTTGGACGACGAGAGATACGGATTTATGGCGGCTCGGTAGTCGGTGACGCATGTGTGCACGGTCCGGCGCCGGAATTTATTTTATTAGGCAATTCTGATAAATACGATGGATTATATTAATTATATTAATTATATTATATAAATACGTATTATCCCGATCTCTGAACGACTTGGGAACTGTTATCCCATGGGTTCCTGTGGGGCTTATTGCAGCCTGCCTTGGTTATTATTGATGATTAAGATCCCTGGGTAAGATTGTATCATGAGGAGAACGATAAATTCAAAATTGTTGAATCTAAATGATGGGTTAGAATAAACTGTTATTCAATTTACGTTTTGGCTAAAATTGTTTATTACAAGAATCAAATCCGTTGTAATTGATATTTAAGTTGAATTTGTAATTACCTAAGTGTTACTGCTCGTTCGATGTCACACTGACAACAAGGAGGCTCGCAGTAATTGACGATTTTACCGAAAGTGGAATATTATCCAAACTTGCGGAATCTGCGATGTTAATTTGATTCAAACGAATTAATCGGTCCAATCTCACTGATAGTAATCATTTTCAAAATGTGACTCAGAATAACGTTGTTTACCGAGTATTTTTACTTTTCGTACTGTCCGAAGATGGTTTGAATTCAAGGATTAGTATATTAAGATAAAGGAATGGGAATGCTCTCGAAATGGCTACATATGGCAATCTTATGAAACTTGTCTCTTACTGAATCATCCTTTGTTGTCAATATATTTAACTACAGCATACTCTCTCTTTCCACCATAGTCAATAGGGCCACCACAGGTCGTGTTCTATGTTTAAAAAACAGATTTAGAAGAATTGTAAAACGTACGAGAAAATTCTTTATACGTTAGAAATACAAACGAGATCTTAAGAAGCCAAATAGCATAAAGATTTGAAAAAGGTGAGAACGAGGGCAACAGAGCAAAGGAGAAGCGTAGAAGAAAGAAAAGAATATTCAAGCAGAAGTGGATTGAGGCAGGAAGGGATGAATTACCTCAAAAGAGAAAAGATAGATATGAAAAAGAAACTTAGAGAATTAGTGTAAAGGTGCGTCATGTGAGCACCTGATAACGTTACTCCGCGATATGAACTATCTATCGGGTCGTAAGGCCGATTACGCTGCGCGACGGAATAGGACGATATCGTTGTCCGTTTAATTAAAAACGAACAACTGTTTTAATAAATAGATCGTGGTTTATTGTACAAGGATGGTCGATTAGCAGAACGATGGACCGGAGTAACTAATAACCGCGACTTGAGAATATGGACCACGAGACTGAACGAAACGTAGATCAGAGTGACGAGCGACCGCGACGTTGAACGATATGGACAACGAGGTTAAGCAAGAATAAAACGTAGTGAGCTGGTCAAAAATTTCTTGTTCTTATATACTTCTCGCCGAGAGAAAACTTGAAGACCATTGGTCAGCAGCGAGGTGGAAAGGGAACTTAGAAGTCCATATCGCACAACAACGCAGGTGGCGGGAAAAACCCGAGAACGTGGACGACACAGCACAATGGGGTGACCCTATCATAAAAATAAAGACGGATGCAGATGGTGTGCCTGACGGTGTTTCCAAATTTCCGTTTATGGTTGCTTCAACAGCGGACTTGGTGTGATTGTGACTACGCACCTTAATTTAGTTTATTGATGGGGTCTCGCTGTCCCCTGAACGTACTAACGGAAAACCGTTTGCCAAAAAAAATAAAATTCCATTGCAAGATGGAACAATTAGCCATAGAAAAAACAGTTACGGAAACGACAAAGGCAAATAGAGCAATCTACGTACAACGAGAAACATCTACGACTGTTTTCCAATACAGATCGGTCACTTGTAAACAAAGTGACTATGTTGTGTTAACAGTCTCGTTGATTAATGGTCTCTCCTAATAAACAAGGCTTACACTTTCGCTAATATCTCAGTAACTATGTATCTTAGATTCCAGTTTGTATAATACTTTTTTATGTAGAATTTAACGCTTTAGCCGAATTCGGGAATAAAAATTTTAACTATTTAATTTAAAGAATTAAAGGTGACCTCCACGTCTTGATAAAAAAGTAAAATAACATTAAACAGATTACAAGCTTGGAAGCCATGCAACTTCTATTTGAAACATTTTTTCATACAACAAATATTTTATGAGTTATCTGATGTCGCCACGTTACGAGACTCACCCTGTATAGTATACAGTAATCTTGTAGTTAGAGGTGATGGAATTTTCGGAAAAAGCGAACCGAACATAGTTCGGTTGAATGATCTAACCAATCCAAGAATTCTATTGAATCGAGCAGCTCGGAAAAAATCAGACAGTTAAAAAAAATTCGAATAGGTCGGAAAGAATCGAACGATCCGGAAGAAATCGAATAGTTTGAAAGAAACCGAACGATTCGAAAAAGATCGAATAAATCGGAAAAAACCGAATTAGGCTGTAGTTACAGTGGATGCGAATTCGTACGAACTAGCGTTCTGATGAGCAATGATTATAGGATAAGTGTGGGTATATTATTGCCGACACCCCAAATACTGCGGTATACTATAAAAGTAATAAAATCTAACATTTTATAATGTGTAATCTTCTAAAAATGAATCTCATAATTTTTTATACGTTTAATATTGATAACTTATGACGTACAAGAAACAGCAATCACAGTTTTAATTTATTTATTGACTTTTGATATTCGGAAGCTTATGAAAACGTCGAATCTTATGAAATACTCGTAATGGCAGTTGTGAAAGCTGATTCGAAAGGCATTTATATTTTGGTAATTAATAATAAACTACTCATTTTAGCGTTATTTTTAGATAAAGAAATCATTACTTTAATAAAAACACACATACACTTAATGACACACTATCATTATCATCTATCCTCAAATATTACATATATACTAATACAGTATTTGGTACATAGCTTTTTTGTATGTGTGTACATTACTGCGGTGCTTTACTGTACCTTAACCTATACAGTGCAGTTCTCGATGAGCCGGCGCGACACACTTGATTGTAAAGTACCTAATTTGTAAAATGCTACAGTGAGAATATCTCGATCCTAAGAATTGTAGCTGTGTGTGTATGTTTAAAGGAAAATGGGAAAAGTACAAAGGAAGAAGACAAAGGGAAGAGAACAAAAAATATCAAATGAAATAAAGAAAAGAAAAAATGTAAGGTTATGCTACCCTAAGGAAAACGTGACGTTAGCCTTGCAAGAAATTCGTGGAGGAGACTCTATTGCAGAAGTATCTCGGANAATTTCCGTTTATGGTTGCTTCAACAGCGGACTTGGTGTGATTGTGACTACGCACCTTAATTTAGTTTATTGATGGGGTCTCGCTGTCCCCTGAACGTACTAACGGAAAACCGTTTGCCAAAAAAAATAAAATTCCATTGCAAGATGGAACAATTAGCCATAGAAAAAACAGTTACGGAAACGACAAAGGCAAATAGAGCAATCTACGTACAACGAGAAACATCTACGACTGTTTTCCAATACAGATCGGTCACTTGTAAACAAAGTGACTATGTTGTGTTAACAGTCTCGTTGATTAATGGTCTCTCCTAATAAACAAGGCTTACACTTTCGCTAATATCTCAGTAACTATGTATCTTAGATTCCAGTTTGTATAATACTTTTTTATGTAGAATTTAACGCTTTAGCCGAATTCGGGAATAAAAATTTTAACTATTTAATTTAAAGAATTAAAGGTGACCTCCACGTCTTGATAAAAAAGTAAAATAACATTAAACAGATTACAAGCTTGGAAGCCATGCAACTTCTATTTGAAACATTTTTTCATACAACAAATATTTTATGAGTTATCTGATGTCGCCACGTTACGAGACTCACCCTGTATAGTATACAGTAATCTTGTAGTTAGAGGTGATGGAATTTTCGGAAAAAGCGAACCGAACATAGTTCGGTTGAATGATCTAACCAATCCAAGAATTCTATTGAATCGAGCAGCTCGGAAAAAATCAGACAGTTAAAAAAAATTCGAATAGGTCGGAAAGAATCGAACGATCCGGAAGAAATCGAATAGTTTGAAAGAAACCGAACGATTCGAAAAAGATCGAATAAATCGGAAAAAACCGAATTAGGCTGTAGTTACAGTGGATGCGAATTCGTACGAACTAGCGTTCTGATGAGCAATGATTATAGGATAAGTGTGGGTATATTATTGCCGACACCCCAAATACTGCGGTATACTATAAAAGTAATAAAATCTAACATTTTATAATGTGTAATCTTCTAAAAATGAATCTCATAATTTTTTATACGTTTAATATTGATAACTTATGACGTACAAGAAACAGCAATCACAGTTTTAATTTATTTATTGACTTTTGATATTCGGAAGCTTATGAAAACGTCGAATCTTATGAAATACTCGTAATGGCAGTTGTGAAAGCTGATTCGAAAGGCATTTATATTTTGGTAATTAATAATAAACTACTCATTTTAGCGTTATTTTTAGATAAAGAAATCATTACTTTAATAAAAACACACATACACTTAATGACACACTATCATTATCATCTATCCTCAAATATTACATATATACTAATACAGTATTTGGTACATAGCTTTTTTGTATGTGTGTACATTACTGCGGTGCTTTACTGTACCTTAACCTATACAGTGCAGTTCTCGATGAGCCGGCGCGACACACTTGATTGTAAAGTACCTAATTTGTAAAATGCTACAGTGAGAATATCTCGATCCTAAGAATTGTAGCTGTGTGTGTATGTTTAAAGGAAAATGGGAAAAGTACAAAGGAAGAAGACAAAGGGAAGAGAACAAAAAATATCAAATGAAATAAAGAAAAGAAAAAATGTAAGGTTATGCTACCCTAAGGAAAACGTGACGTTAGCCTTGCAAGAAATTCGTGGAGGAGACTCTATTGCAGAAGTATCTCGGAAATATAAAATTCCAGAGTCGACCTTAAGGGCGAAGAAATTAGGACTTTATGCCGATAAAAAACCTGGACCTGCAACTGTTCTGAATGCAAAAGAAGAAAAAGATCTCGTCGATTGGATTCTGGAATGTTCTAAAAGAGGTTTTCCAGTAACAAAATCTCAATTAATTGACAGTGTGCAAATGATATGCCAAAGCATGAAAAAGAAAAGTCAGTTTAGGGATAATAAACCTGGAAGAAGTTGGTACGACTCATTTTTAAAGAGGCATGAGGAAATCGCAGTGAGAATGTCAGAAAATGTTTCCTTAAATAGAGCTAAGGTATCCGAGCACAGTTTACAAAACTGGTTTCAAGATGTTTCAAACTATTTGAGAGAACAAAATCTATTATCAATAGAAGCTAATAGAATCTTCAGTAGTGATGAAATAGGTCTGGCTTTAAGTCCTAAACCTCCTGCTGTGCATGAACCGAAAGGATGCACAAATGTTTACAACATTGTCGATAATAATGAGAAAGAAAACATCACTGTTTTGGTTACAAGTAATGCTGCTGGTGATCTTGCTCCAACCTTTGTTCTCTTCAATGGAAAATCTTTGCCAAATAATGCTGCAGAAATGACTCCCTCCAATTTTGCATTTGGATTTTCAGACAGTGGCTGTATGCATGCTAAAAACTTTTATGAATTCATTACAAATGTTTTTGAACCTTGGTTGACTGAAAAAAGAATAAAGCGTCCAATAATTTTATACATTAATAGTAATTTGTCTCATATGACATTACATTTGAGCAAATTTTGTTCAGAGAATGAAATTGTACTTATTGCATTACATCCAAATGCTACACATATATTGCAACCTCTAAAAGTAGCTTTGTTTAAAACATTAAAATTACAATGGCAAAGAACTTATAAATTACACTGCAAAGATTCTTTAAGCATTGGTATACGTAAATATTTATTTGCTCCACTGTTAAACAAGACTCTCAATTGCATTAATATTAAAACCATTATGCAAAACGGATTTAAAAAATGTGGACTATATCCTTTTGACGTTGAAGCCATAGATTTTAGTAAGCTTTTTACTCGAATGGAAATAAATTGTTCGTCTCATACACCAGAAAATAGATCTGAAAATATGCCTAATAATATAAATTCTTTAAAAGTGTTAGAAAGCCTATTAACTATACACCAGTTGCAATCATTTAGATTAAATACCAGTACTATTTGGAAGGGGATGCCAAGAGATGAAAGCCTTTT